AAACCTGTTCTTCCAACACATTTCTTATGTCTCATAGAACGAGGCTTACAGGGATGGTGAAAGAGCACGTCCGTTTTTCTGATTTTTTTTTTTTGTAAAAGCAGATGCAATCCGTGGACGCTGCAGTCTAGATGTAGCCGTTGAGGCCCTGCCCCACCTACAGGAATCAGGGCCTAATGTTACACATAGTATAACCAAGTAGGGACAATAAGAGGAAGGAACGGAATGGGATGAGACAGAACAAAGGTTATAGTAGTATGAGTAGGCAGTTACTGAATTTAGGCATGTGCACATCCTGTTCATTCAATGAAAAAAGTGTTATCTTCTTTTAAGCTATTTTGAATCACTTTTTGTGGGTAGCATGGAAGAATTGAGTTTGAAGGAGAGATTTGAATGAGGGGAAATTTGCTTAATTCTGCTTTTGGTGCAGACCTCTTTGAAAATCTGCTTTTGGTGCTGTCTACACAGCAGGAAGTTGAAGGAAAAACACTCTTCCTTCGACTTCCCTTACTCCTTGTGAAATGAGGGTTACCATGAGTCGGAGTATGAAGTCCTCCAGCTTGACATTATTTCGAAATAAAGGCTTGTAGTGTAGATGCGCACTATGTTATTTTGGAATAACGCTGCTGTGTAGACGTGCCTGTGGGAATTAGGCATCCAGCTTTCATTGGGACTTGTCCACCTAATTGCTCTTTGAACGTTTGAAAATCTCCATCCTTAATATTTCAAAGTGCACAGGGTAGACGGCACTAAAACTGCTTAAAGTTAACTGTTTTACTGTAATTGTTAATTAATTGCTGGCATTATGGCCTTGATGTTTACTGTTCTGTTTGTAACAGAAGTATTTAAGAGTCAGGAAGATTTTAAAAATGACCAAATTTAATTAAGAAAAATAAGTGAAATACATGAGAGGAGAGTACTGGCCTTTCAAAGAACACCTCCCTCAAAACTCTCCAAAAGGTCTGCGAGGATGTGCAATGGTTTCCCAAGTACAGTGGTAAAAGCTCTATTATTGGAGACCTTTTTAAAACAACATAATTCACTATTGAAATCTCACATTAGAAATTGTAAATCAGCATTTTTAACCTTTTTTCACTTGCCAACCCCTAAAAATATTCAAATGGAGATGCAGGCCTCTTTGAAAATCTTAGACATAGTCTGAGAATCCCTAGGGATTGGCAGACCACAAATTGAAAATCACTGTTCTAAATCATCAGAACAAGTGTTCATTGGCTGATTGTATCCAGAAGATAAACACTGTTGCCAACAGCTTCTGAAATCTGTCTTTTCCAAATTAATTAATTTAGGGCCGTTGCAAAGACCACAGCATTAAAAGCTGTAGTATGTGATCAAATACATTCCCTGTGCTAAAAAATCTTTATTGTTCCTGGGAGACACTTTCCTAGCCTAAGCTTGTTGACTAGACTGATGGGAGTAGGAGGATGAATAGGTTTTTAGAGACCTTTCTCTCACAGCACCACTTGTCCTTCAAGACCTCATTTGTCTATATTGCTGACAGCATAGCTGTTCCTATCTTCACTTGACCTTGATATTTTTATGTCTCCTGAAGGAGAAAACATGCACCCGTTCCTGTAGTATGAAGGGATTGTACCCAGGACGGGATGGTGCGTCTTTATTCACATCGCAGTTGGAACTTCTAATACTTTGAGTGATATCAAAGGTGCAGCAACTCTTATCTGTCATAAAGACTGCTGTAAGCAGCTGGAGTTCATCATGTCTTCATCTTGCAACTGTTCCTATCACAGCTCAAGACACTGCCCATCATCTCTAATCTCTACTTCCTTTCCATTTATAAAGTTAGTATTTTCTTAACCTCTCTAGTACCTTTTACTTTCAGACAGATGCCTGCACTGCAGCATTTCAGCCCCTCTCTTATCTGTCATAAAGACTGCTGTAAGCAGCTGGAGTTCATCATGTCTTCATCTTGCAACTGTTCCTATCACAGCTCAAGACACTGCCCATCATCTCTAATCTCTACTTCCTTTCCATTTATAAAGTTAGTATTTTCTTAACCTCTCTAGTACCTTTTACTTTCAGACAGATGCCTGCACTGCAGCATTTCAGCCCCTCCTTTGTGTTGT